ATATGTATTTAATATTTATTCCAGAATTTTAAGTCCTCCGCGGTATGCTCGTGATTTTTCATTTTTAGAAGATAAGCTGCCAACGTATCAATCTGGTTAGTTCTACTTGTGTTTGATTTAGTTGTTATGTTAAAATGTTATGTCTTTAAAGAACTTATATTCTAGAATCTTGAGTTACTCACAAATCTTTACTAGGAATTCTCACATCCGCCACTTTGATAAATTCTCGCAATATAGGTATGGAGCGGCTAGAGCTTGTTTGTGCGACCTCTGCTTTGTTGTATAAATCAATATTTGCGTAATACTTAAAGGCTTCGTAAAAGGTGAAGTTTGGAACCGAGGGATGACTTTGCTAAATAAAAAGTTATTCAGCTAGACTTTATGCTTTCATCATCGAAACCTGCTCGCCGAAAAGTGTCTATCACGTCTTTTTAATGTACAAACAATAAAATAAAGAAATCTAAACAATTATGCTTCTATTTGTTCATGCGTTTGCTTTTAGTTTTAGATCAACCAAATTCTCTTTTGAAAATTTAAGCTCAATTTTCTAGAGACTGCAGCAAATTGTTTGCAGGCTAAAAGCGTGGTTGCCTAAAGCTAAAATTATTGTAATTAAATTAAATTGCATGCATTGGTTTTTTTTCAAATTTTAAGAGTGGTTGTAGGGAACAACATCCAAATTAAGGAACTCATAAGTTACATTGTCGATTTGTTGGTCACACTTTTTCTTGGATTTGGTTGCTAAATTCAGTGTTGACAATGTTTGAAAGAGTACCTTATAATTTCCTTAAAAAGAATTGAAGTATATTGTACACACCTTGTAATCTAAACTTCTTTAAATATTTCCTCTGCTAAATATATGGATATTTTGTAGACTCAATTCACGCAAGAACTATATCCTTAAGAGTTTGAGTGCCAATTCCAAGTCCAAGACTTCCACAAGTCTTTTATCTTAGTCGATTTTTTCAAAAAACTTCTTTACAGTCACTTTTTCTATTGACTTTCTCACCTTATCTTCTTTTCTTTTAAAAACTAATATTCAGAAGCTAAAATGACGAAGATGTGCCGTTATGGCCTTTGGAACTCTTATGCATTCTATAGATATCATTCAGCTTTTGAGATTCACACTATGAGGCAGCGAGGCTAAGCTCTAAAAAATGGTATTATCACACTTC